GAGTAGAACCCCTGGATGAGGTGTGGAACCCTTGGATGAGGAGTAGAACCCCTGGATGAGGAGTAGAACCCATGGATGAGTAGAACCCCTGGATGAGGTGTGGAACCCTTGGATGAGGAGTAGAACCCCTGGATGAGGAGTAGAACCCATGGATGAGTAGAACCCCTGGGTGAGGTGTGGAACCCCTGGATGAGGAGTAGAACCCCTGGATGAGGAGTGGAACCCCTGGATGAGGAGCTGTTCCAGGTTATACTCACAACATGATGTTTAGATTTTCACGTTGATCAGGAATAGTAAATTATTTGTTGGGACTTTGGAGAAAGTGGTGAGAATGTTTCTCAGCCAGTCCTCACCTGTGATTTAGGTGGTTAACCACACGGTTCTTTACCATCGGGGTTCTGTTGGAGTTTAACGTTTCTGTTAGTTTTAAAACACAAAACTTTTAGAAACAAACTGCGTGGTAGTCCAACAGGTGGAAGGTTCTGGGCTGTGATTAGTTGGTTCAGGAGAACTTTTGTTTCTTTTGTCCCAAACAAATACACCGGAGAACCAGGTGGAACTAGAGCAGTGTTAGCATGGTTGTTCTAGTTGTTTACAGATGTGATGGGCAGAGGTGGCACAGTGGTAAAGAAGATGAAGCTGCAGTTTGATTCCTCGCCATGCCCACATGTGCTGGTGCCGCAGGAAGACACCTGGTCCCTAACTGCTCCACCCGTGTGTTCCTCTGGTGTGATGGGTCAAATGTTGGGAACACACGAGATGTTTCACTTCCACTGATAAAAATATATGAGTACTAATACTTAAACACATACAGAATTATTTGATTTGTACTAATATAATTTTTAATTTCATTTTATTATGTTAAAAAACAACAACTTCAAATTCACTGAACCTTTCGATCCATGGAGGTTTCCAGCTGCTCTTTCTCCTCCTCTTCTTCCTCTTCCTCTTCCTCCTCCGATGACGACTGCTGCTGGTTCTCCAGCAGTTCAGGAACCTGGTGAGGAACCAAACAAAGATCAGGGTCTTACTGACCCAAAACCAGTGACAGAAAGATAGAACCTGTACCGTCTGAACTCCAGAGAGATCCTTCGTCAGGCCCGTCAGGGTCCGGTAAAGAATCTGAGCAGGACAGAACACTTTCATCAGAATTATGATCCGTGTCCTCAACACCACCTTGAGTCAATGAGCCAAGGCTAGATCAGGGCTGGATCAGGTCTTTGAGAGAGTGTCTTACATGGTCCAGGTGTCCACTGTCAGCAGAGTTCCCCTCCTTGGCACTCATCAGTTCCACATCTCGCTCATAATGGTCCACCTCAGTCAGCGTCCTGGGAATGTACGCCTTCTTAAACACCTGCAGGGAAAGGAGTCACAGCAGAGGTCAGAGGTCAGAGGTGAAGTACAACTGTCAGCAGCTGGACTGTTACCTCCTCGTCCACTCTGTCCTGATCCGACCTCTGCTGACATGTTCGCTCTGCGGCAATCACCATGACCTGTTGGACCAAGTTACATGGACTTAAATGAATGGACTTAAACAAAGTTAGAGATGGTTAAATACATTTAAATGAGGTTAAACAGAGAAGAAGTTCAACAGAGTTAAATGAATAAGTGCCGTGTGATGTCATCATTGTACGTTCCCAAACACAGACGAAATTGTGTCTCTGCATTGAACCCATCGTACCTGCTACACCCAGGTGGAGCAGAGGGTGGTTATGAGAGCACCCGGGGAGCAATTAGGGATTAAGTGTCTCGCTCAGAGACACCACGACATGAGGGGATGGCTGGGGATCAAACCTGAGACTTTAGTCTGCTGCCCTACGTCTACCCCATCTCAGCCACCCACAGGAAGTTAATGGAGTTAAAAGAAGTTAAATAAAGTTAAAATTAGATGAAGTTAAATACATTTATTGAAGTTAAATAGTTAAATGGCATTAAATGAAGTTAAAAAGATTTAAATGAACTTAAATGGAGTTAAATAAAAATTAAGTTAAATAGAGATGAAGCGAAACAAATTTAAATGGAGTGAAATTAAGTTAAATAATTCAATTCAGTTTATTTCTTCAGCTCCAAGTCACAACAGAATCGTCTCAGGCCTGAACAGAAACATTCATCTATAAAATAATAATTGAACAAAAACATTCATCTATAAAATAATAATTGATCAGAAACATTCATGTATAAAATAATAATTGAACAGAAACATTCATCTATAAAATAATAATTGAACAGAAACATTCACCTATAAAATAATAATTGAACAGAAACATTCATCTATAAAATAATAATT